ATTTGCCTGACTCTTCCACAATGGTAGCATCCAATTCTGAATGCTTCCTGCCTCCAGCCTCAGCATCTTCTGACGGGTCCTGGGAGGACTGCATCAGCCCCTGGGTTCTCACTCCCAACTGCAGAGAAGAGTCTGGGTTTATTTTTTTAACAAACTGTAGATAGGAGCAGTTCAGATAATCCACATGTTTATATCTGTCTCACTATCTATAACTCTATGTTTATGCCATAATACCATGGAATAAGGGGCTGGAGAGATAGCACAGTGGTAGGGCGTTTGCCTTGCACGCAGCCAACATGGTCGACCCGAGTTCGATTCCTCCGCCCCTCTCAGAGAGCCGGGCAAGTTACGGAGAGTATCTCGCCCGCCCGGCAGAGCCTGGCAAGCTCCCCGTGACGTACTCGATATGCCAAACACAGTAACAACAAGTCTCATGATGGAGACGTTACTGGGCCCGCTCGAGCAAATCGATGAACAACGCGGAGGACCGTGACCGTGACCATGGAATAAAGTTACCGTGTAACATTTGGACAATAACAACAACAATAACAACAACAACAACAACAAAGAGTCTGGGGGCTAGTGCTCGCAGCCCACATCCTCGGTTTTTGAGAGCTCAAACTAAGGGGCATATACCTGCCTGAACTGGCTTCATGTTCTTCGATGGGTTTGGGCTGGTTTAAACTAGACCTTATACATGAGGAGTCAAATCCTCAGGATAAAATAGCTCAGAACTGGGGCAAAGAGTGATTTCTATTTATTTAGAAACAAATCTTTGTTTAGTTAAATCACAGTGAGATACACAGTTACAAAGTTGTTCATGATTGGGTTTCAGTCATATAATATTCCAACACTGGTCTCATTATCAGTGTAGATTTCCCACCACCCGTGTCTTCAGTTTCCCTCCTGCCCCACCCTGCCACCCTGCCTCTATGGCAGGCACGTTTCCTCTTTAAGGAGTGGTTCTTGGAGCTGGAGAGATAGCACAGCGGGTAGGGCGTTTTGCCTTGCACGCGGCCGACCCGGGTTCGATTCCCAGCATCCCATATGGTCCCCTGAGCACCGCCAGGAGTAACTCCTGAGTGCAGAGCCAGGAGTAAGCCCTGTGCATCGCCAGGTATGACCCAAAAAAAAAAAAGGAGTGGTAAACTGTGGAGTTTGTGCCCAATTCAATCAGTGAATCAGCGGCTGAATAAATAGCAGTACTCCTACATAATAAATAAATAAATAAATAAATAAACTGTATCATGGAGGGATCATTCGAACCACACTCGGCAGTGCTCAAGGCTTACTTCTTGTTAGGTGCTCAGTAGTCATAGTCATACCTGATGGTGCTAGGGGGACCATATGTGGGACCAGGGATCGAGGGAAGGTTTCCTGAAAGAATGTCTGTGAGCTGTGGTCAGGAAGAGGGGAGGAATAAGAGACAATCAGAGATGATTATAGTAAGGGATGTGAGGCTCAATGCTGAGGATTTTGTTTTTGTTTTTTAATTCATAATAGTCCATAGAGCATCCAGAATCTTGGGGCCAGCTCTCCTCTCCATCAAGGAAGATCGAAATCGATGCCTGAAACCTGGCAACTCACTTGAGGATTTCCGTGCCTGATGCTGTGACTTATTCTCAGAAAGGTCACAACTGCATGGGCATCAATGGCACGTCACATACATTTATGACTCTTACACATCTATCTCGTTTCTAATACTGTGTCAAGCGAAGTAGCAGGAAGGAGAAATCTTGATTTTACACTAATGGGGAAAAAGGATAAAAAAAAAAACAGAGACTCCCATTTCTGGAAACTTCTGACACAGGGCAGGCTTTCATATTAAACAAAAGAGCAAAATTCAAGAGGTAGGGATAACGAACACAGATTGGAGAAATGAAACCATACTGATTCAAATAAAACTTGAAGGGAGCCCACAAAGAACTCAGCAGGGGGTCATTTTCACATTTAACACCACACTCAAGTTCATCCAGGATGCTGACACTTTGGCCAATTCCAACAGAGTCATTGGTGATACAAGGTGGGTGGGGAGAAGGGATGTGGAGGTTACATGACAGGGAAGAGAACAAAATAATCTGAGGGGATGGTTGGGAAGAGAGAAACTGAGGAGGGAGAGATTGTGGGCACAGAGAGAGATGCAGAGGCAGAGACAGAGACAGAAGAGTGTCAGAATGCCCTTGCTTTTTAAACTCAATAATATCCCACTGTAAGAAGATGCCACGTTTGCTTATCCATTCATCCATCTCTGGACATTAGCTAATATGAATAATGTGGGCTTACAAATATATCTTTAAGACTGTGCCTTCAGTTTTGGGGGCATCTATCCAGAGGTAGAATTGCTGGGTCATAAATTTCTTATCATGTCTAAACTGACAATCTATATTCTTGCCTATTCTATTTTCCATACCTGTGCTCCTTTTGTTCTGTGACTCATTGTTCTTTCTTCATATCTTATTTTTAAAAATTTTATTTTATTAAAGCACTATGATTTACAAAGTTATTCATAGGTGGGTTTTAGATATACAGTGTTCCAGCACTGATTTTGCCACCAGTATCACCTTCTCCCCACCAGTGTAACCAGGTTCCCTCTCCTACCACCCTCCCCCTGCCAATATCCCCTCTTTTCATTTTCTAAGTCACGAGGGTAGCATCTTGTTTCAGGGATCATATGATCTCCTTTCATCTCAAATGCTCCCCTCTCGCTGTCATTAGAACATTTGTGACTGCATTTAAGAGTCCCTGAAAAGAATCCAGTACAATTTTCTCATCTCAAGACTCTTAATATAATGATATCTGCAAAATTTCTTGTCATAGAAGGTGTCATTTGCAAATTCCAGGAATTAGGACCTGTATATTTTGGAGGTCCTTTATTCAGCCTATACCATAAGCTAATGGAAAAGGCAAAATGACAAGATAATTGTAGTGGAATGCATTGGAATCCAAGCTCAAAACTGCACACAGCATGGTCCCTTACCATTGCCAGTTTAGCCCTGGAGGTCCCGAAGCATCACCAGGATGCTTTGGTGGTTCCTGGTACCACACGACACAAACAATACCATATCCTCAAGTCCTAGAAATAAACCACCCAGTCTGGGGTCTCTGAACTGGGAGCCTGGGAGCCTTACAAGAAGAAGGAAGGAAGGAAGGGAGGGAGGGAGGGAGGAAGGGAGGGAGGAAGGTGAAGAAATGAAGAAAGAAAGAAAGAGAAAGGAAGAAAAGAAGAAAGGAAAAAAGAAAAGAAAGTCAGAGAAAGAGAGAAATTAAGAAAGAGACCAATACCCCACTGTCTTTAGAGATCACCACAGGAAATAGCCTGGGACATGGTGTTTTGAAATTTCTTATCATGTCTAAACTGACAAATGTATTTCTTTCTTTTATTTCCTTTTCCTTTAAGAAAAATCTTTAAAAGCAACATAAGTCTCTATACAGCCCAACAACTTGTGTCTTTCATTTAATAATTATCTGCAGCAAGCGCTTTAGGAGTGAAAGGGATTTACTTGCTACTGTCTTCTCTGATGTAAAAATAACTTTCTGGTAAAGTAAATGACTTTCAGAAAAATTCAATTTGATATAATCTCCTGGAAATGTCAATGTTAACTTTAATTCATAAGAGGAAAGGGAGCTCTTGAAACAAAATAAGGATAGAGGCAATTTAGAGTTCTGGGTAAATTAGAGAAAGGTATTAGCAGCTGTGTATAGTGCATCGTGACATACATGAGGGTTCAGTGACTTCCTGTGGCGAGCGAGACAATGCTTCTATGGGGTTGGCTTAAATTAGGCGTCTAGTCCCAGGATTGGCAAAAGCAGAAGACAGGGTTTAGAATCTGGGCTTGGCCATCAGCTAGCAGGGTGACCCCAGGCAGCCTGTGTTCAGCAGCTGATTCTCAGTGTCCTTCCCCCTTCCCCTTCTGCAAGGACCTGGGGCTGCGGTGCTGGGCTGGAGGTGGCTGGTGTGTGTGGGGGGGGGGGGGGTGGGGGGGGGAGGGAGGGGTAAGAGGTCACACTTCTCTTGTGGGTTGTGGTACTCTTCAGGGGCCCATATACTTTATTATTTTGTTGTTGGTTCATTAGTTAGGGGGGCATATCTGCCTGTTGTTAGGGTTATTTCTGGCTCTGTGCTCAGGAATCATTCCTGGCGATTCTTCTCTTATGCCCCCCCTCCCCCCCCCCCCCCCCCCCCATCAAATCCAGGTATCTTCAGCCTGATCATACATACACTTTAGTTATGGTGCTCGCCCAGAGTTGGCTGTGTTGCACCAGGGTGTGCTGGTTTTTGCTGTGGCACCTCGGCTCCCCCAAAACAACGCTGAACAGGTGGGGTGACCCTCAGGCACGTGGGGTGGCCTTGGAGATTAAACATGCAGCCTCCCTGGCCTCACGCTTACAAAGCAGGCAATTTACCGCTGAGCTAGCCTGGAGTTCCTCATCCTCCTTAGTTTAAAATTTTTAATCTTTGGCCACACTTTGTTGTGGTCTGGGCTTACTCCTGGTTCTGTGTTCAGGGATCATTCCTGGCAGTGCTGGGGGGAGGGGAGGGGATCATATATGATGCTGGGGATTGAACCCAGGGGAGCTGCGTGCAAGGCATTATCAGGCACCCACTATCCTATCTCTAGAGATCCCCTTTTAGTCCCCTCTCCCTACAAAATATTTTTTTCCTTAAATTTTTATTAGCGAAACACCATGAAAATGTGCTAACACCTATTTTAGTTGGGGGTGGGAGGGGACACTGAATGAATGGTCCTTCCATGTTTGTTACAATTGTAACAATTTGACCTCCCAGTGTCAAGAATTTTGCTGGTGCCACGCGTTAGCTGAATATGTTAGGCTTAGGGCGGGAATGGGGGACTGCAAGGGGACAGGATCCGAAGTGCAAGGACCTGGCTGCCACAGAAAAGTCCACAGATGCCGCGGGACGTTGGGAGCCGGCGGCGCTCCGCCTCCAGCGGCAGCGCTCCGCCTCCAGCGGCGCCGCCGTTGCAGCCTGCCCTTGTCTTCGGCGGCAGCTCTCAATAAAGTTGTTGTTCAAACAACATGGCGGCGCCCATGGTGCCTGACCGTGCCGCGTTCACTTAAGGTGGGAGCCGAGGCATCAGAGGCTAGAGAGCCTGTGTGCAGGTAAACCAAGTTCTGGCTCGGGACGAGGGACGAGACTCCAATTCCTCTGCCACAGATCGGATGGATCCAACTTGGCGAGGATCAGGAATTCAGGGAAAGTGCAGGCAGTTTGCACAGTGAGGAAAGTCTCGGATCGCAGACTTGGAGCCACGGGCCGGGTAGTAGGTCTGGACCCTTTCCCAGAAACCTGCACGTGAACGCAGAGTTTTGTATTCTTCGCGTTCCCCTCCTCCCACTCCTGGGCCTTTGCGTCCCTGGCCCGGTTTTGGGCTCAGTTCAGAGTCACCCGGCGCATCTCTGCGGCCCTCAGGCCACTGCGCAGTCTGTAAGAGACCCCCGAATCCTCAGAGTTCGTTAGGACCCGCCCCCTCGTTTTAGAGGAAGTTGAAGGTCATGACAGCAAACAGTGTGCCTGGGGCACACGGGGAATTTATAATTGCAAAGCCAAGAAAGATTTTGGGGCGGGGACGGGGGAGGTTGGGGCGGGGGGGCGGGGGAGGCTGTCCACAAAACTTGGTTTCTTTGAGATGAATTTTCTCAGCTACACTCTTAAGTGCATTCTTTGGGGCGCACACAAATGCCCTTGAATGCATTGTTTCCTTGTCTGCCTCCCCTTCTAGCTTTTTCTGTACACGTGTGATTGTCATGTGGGGTCCTTTCAAACCCACTCCTCCTCCCTCGGCAAATACTGCCATTCTCAAAAACGGATCCTTCAGCCCCAAGTGAGGTAGAGAGCAGAACTGACTCTAAAGAGAAGTGGAGTAGTGGGGGTTGATTGATGCCTTGGAAGTATGTGGCGAAAGAGGTTAAGATTTCAACCGTGCTGAAGAAGAAAGCGTGGACTCCCCCCCCTCTCCGCCCCCCGCGGGTCGCACACATTAAAGTTGTTCAGGTATTACTCGTGTTATTCCTGGCCCTGCGCTGAGGGATCACACCTGACTGAGCCCTGGACCACATAGTGGCAGGGATTGAACACCGATCACCAGTTGACTTGAGTGCAAGGCAAGCATCCAGCCCGCTGTACTATTTCTCCCGGCCCCTGAAAAATTGGTCTTAAATGTAAGATGTGAGCCACACCTTTTTCTTTCTCCCTACAGAGGGAAACCTCTAATAAAATGACTCTAGAGTTTTACCTAGAGTAGCCTATGCCCATCAGTGGAACAGTCATGGAATGGTGCAGAGTAGCATCTGGAAGTGAAGGAGGGAAACAGACCTGAGCTCTGGAAAGTTCTGGATTAAAGCACAGCCCAGTACACTTTGGGCGCCTCTGAATCTTGGAGATGCCCGATTATAAAATAAGTGATTTTTTTCTTTCTTAACCTTTACCCTGTTACAGGATTGCTACTCAAATAGGTAGAATCAAGTTACAGTGCACAGTGGCAATATATAAAAATTCAGTCTTATTATTTAATATGCTTTGCCAATCTGATTAGCAAAATATTTCATTGTCTTAATTTATGTTTTTAAGCTTAGCTCTGAGTTGAGCTTTTTGGTTGGGAAGATAGTTCAAAGGGCTGAAGTGCATACTTTGCATGCTGGAGTCCCAAATTCAGTCCCCAGCACCACAGGGTACGACTCAGCCCCCACGGTTCACTGGGGGTGAGCACCATGGTCCTAGAAAAACAAAAAGAACAAAATTAAAACCTTGAGGTTTTTTTTCATATATTTGCCAACTATTTGCATTTACTCTTTACTTTTTTCTTTTGCCCAGTTTATTTTTATCAACTTAGAATTTTTTAATTAAGGTATAATGCCATGAACTATATTAACTTCAAATATACACCACAGTGATTCAGTATTTGTATATATCAGAAATGATCACCACAAGATGCCTAGTTTAGCATCTGTTACCATCCATTTGCACAAGTTTTTCTGTTGTGATGGGAATTTTTGTTGTTGTTGTTCCTTTGTTTTGGGACTTGGGGACTACTTCTAGCTTCGTCTTCCAGGGTTTCTCATGATGGTATTTAGGGAACCATCTGGTACCAAGAATCAAACTGCTGCCTTCTGTGTATGCCAAGCATGCACTCAGCCCATTTGGACTTTTCTTGGGCCTCACTATAAGAACTTTCAAGCTCTGCTCTCTTAGTACCTTTCAACTATGTCTCTTAGTACCTTTACTATAGTTAAGGGTGTTAACTATAGTCACCCTTCTCTACATTGTGTGCTTGTGAGTTACATATTATTTATAACTGGGAATGTGTATCTTTTGACCCCATTTCCCATTTATAAAAATCAAGAATTTTTATATTCTCTTATGTGAGCTCTTTAAAGTAGAAAAATCCTGTGGTTTCAGTTTTGGCAAACATTTTCTCGTAGAGAATGCAATATTTTTTTAAATTCTATAGTATTTTTATTCAGCGATAAGTGGTTTTAGGTCTGGTAATGAGGGAGGAAATTAGTTTCATTCTATTTTTCTCAGCTCCTATTTAGCTATGACCTTGTTGAATCTTTTTGACATTTCTGTACATTTTTATTTATTTTTTTTTGTAGACTTACAAATTTTTGTGCTTGGGTTTCAGTTATACAATGATCGAGTACCCATCCCTCCACCAGTGCCCATTCTCCACCACCACCGATCCCAGTATCCCTCCCACCCGCAAACCCCCATCCTACCATCCCACCCTGCCTCTGTGGCAGGGCAGGGGAATGTAATCTTGGAGAGAAATGCCAGGAGCATCCTAAAATTTACCATTCTGAGCCTAATGCTGTTAAATAGAAATGAAAGCCATTGCTCTAATTGTACAACATATCTATATACTTGGCTGGTGGGATGGAATTACTCATGAACCAATTTTGTATACTTGTTTCTATGGGTACATCTATACACTTTAATATATCCCAAGCCAAGGAATGCTATTTCTTTTTATAAGAAAAATATTTTTCTGATTCTACCCCCAAAGAAGTCATAAAGAAATTAACTATGGTGAGAACTGTTATATCTAGAACTTTGGCAGATCAAGGTTTTAAAGAAAATACTGAGTCAGGAAGACAGCTCCAAGGGTTGGTGCCTCTGCTTTGCCTGCGGGAGCCCCAGTTTCCATCTATGGTCCCCTGAGCATTGAGCCAGGTATGAACCCTGAGCACCACCTGATAAGGCCTCCCAACAAACAAAAATAACTCTGGGATGCTGTTTTATGTGAGTGTTCATTTGTTAGGTCATATCATAAGCCTACACTGAACCCTCTTTCACGACCCATTTGTGAAAATAGGCCAAAGCCTAGGAAACATTTTGGAAGAATCAAGGAATGAAACCAGCTTAGAGTGTCAGGTTTTTCTTTATTTCTTCCTTGGTTTTGAAAGATCAGTTTTCATCTGTTTCTTCTCAATTGCTTCTTAAATAGACAAGAAAGAAGAAAGTTAAGACTATTTAGTTATAAAATGTAAATATTTGATGAACTATCACTTCAGCCTTTCAACAGTGATGAAGTGTGAAGCTTTTCCCATGGGGTCATTTTCAGAATTCACCTTGGAGGAAACTAACGAAGCTTTTCCACTACATTTTGAATTGTACCAGGGTCTTCTGGTAGGGCCCATCCTGTTGCCTGTATTCCAGAAAACCATAGCACTCACCACTATTACATATCATGTGTATTTGCTAGTAAGTTTCTTACATGCCTTTCTCTCCTAATAAGTACAAGCAGGAGAGGAGGTTGTTGGTTTTGTTCACTGCTGTGTCTCCAGTTCCTAGAATAGTGCATGAACTTCATGTCAATCTACACATGCTATGATGAAGGACAAATGGAATAAGCAGAAATGTGGCCATTTCCTGCTTTAGTCTTCTAGGTTGTTTTTTTTTTTTAAATTTTTTAAAGCTCATCACACACACACACACACACACACACACACACACACACACACCCCCCAAATGCTAATAATAATACTCACTCTGGGATTGACACTTTGCCTTTTTCCTTCAAAGTTTTTGCGTCTTTGGTCTTTGAGGGCTGCCCCAATTACTTTTATATGTTCTATTTTAAAGTTTGCTTTAACTCAAACTTGATTCTTTGCAGGGAAGGAAGCTATCCAGATAGCACAGGGAAGGCTGGAAGTGGACAGGGAAGGCAGGGCCGGGCTGAGTGGAAGCAGATACTAAGGAGAGGGCTTCCGGAATTTCATCAGTGCTTTCTGCCCTGTCTCAGGCTCCCCACTTTCCAAGGATGGCTCCTGCTTGGCAGAGACTGGGGCTTGGGGCCTCTCTCCTGAAAGGACAGCAGAGAAGCTGGTCAGAGGTCATCCACTGGGGAAAGCGAGGGATTCCGAGCTGTAGCAGAGGTATTTACAGTGCCACTGGAAAGTGGACGAATGAGTATACGCTGCAGACAAGAAAGGATGTGGAGAAATGGTGGCACCAACAAATCAAGGACCAAGCCTCCAGGATATCAGAGGTTGATGTGAGTATTCCTTGGGGGTGGAGGAGTGGGCTCAGGGTGCAGGCTCTGGGCTTGTACTGCCCGGGGAGTCCTTCCCTTCTGTTGATGTTGCAGTTACAGCAGGTGCCACGTGCGCTTGGTGGTGCTACTTGCCCCTTTTGGGTTGCACTCCTGGGGCGGACACACTCCTGTCAGTTGAAAGATCTGTACATGGACTCATGGATATCACACTCTTTCATTGTGCTTGCTGTGGGTTGCAACAGTGCACATTTTCTCACTGGGGCTTTTGCTCCTGGTCCCTGTGCACACATCTTTTCAATTGGGTGTTCTTTGACTGGGGAGGGGGTGTCATGGCTTGACCATAACATCCGTCTGGAGAGTGGGCCCTGGGCTTCTGGCCCACGTGCGTCAGTCAGTGATTTTACATGCTGGGCTGTAGCCAGTTTCTGTGAAATCCTCAGACGGAGCCTGACTCCTCTGGAAGACCATGCTGGTGGGGAATCTGTACTGAATGCAGTGAGCTTTATTTCCCAGCTGTGGTCAAAAGCATAAATAGATACGTGATTTGTTACACGAAATGCTGAGTCTGGATCAGAGCAAAGCACAATGAGATAGTTTATTTGTTAATTCTGACTATCCTTTTGTAATGGTTTCCGGGAAAATAATAGAGAACCTCTGCTTAATACAAGAGAAGAGGCGGAAAGCAAACAGCTGAATCAGTGGAGCTGCCGGAGGTAGCACCTCACCGGACTCGGCTTTCTGCGTCTTCAGATTCTCGTACCAGATGCCTCTTCCACTGTAGCAAGGAGCTGCTTGTGTTTGACTGAAGCATAGCTTGGGGCATTGGTCATAAATGAACTCAGATATTGATGGAATAGATGACAAATGAAATGATAAAAAAGTACAAAGCACCTTTTTATACAATGCCTGTACAATGCAAGCTTAACTTTGACCTCATTTGGAGGCGAAAATAAATAAATAAATAAATAAATAAATAAATCTCATGTCCACCTGACCCAAGCATGTGACTAAATGGATTTTGGGTTTTTGTTTGCTGGTTTGTTTATTTTTGGGTTTGGGGGGAGCCATACCTGGCAGTACCCAGAGGTCACTCCTGGAAATTCTCAGGCTACTGTATGGTTCCCAGGATTGAATGTGATCACCTATGTGCAAGGCACTGTAGCACTGCACTGTCCTCCTGTTGTTCATTGATTTGCTTGAGCGGGCACCAGTAACCAGTCTCCATTGAGAGACTTGTTACTGTTTTTGGCATATCGAATATGCCACAAGGAGCTTGCCAGGCTCTGCCGTGGGGCGGGATACTCTCAGTAGCTTGCCAGGTCCTCCAAGAGGGTGGAGGAATCAAACCTGGGTCGGCCGCCTGCAAGGCAAATGCCCTACCTGCTGTGCTATCGCAATTACCTTAAACCCTGGGCTGTCTCTCCAGCCCCTAAGAGTATTTTGAAAGCAAATCTTAAGGAGTGGTTTAATTCTGAATGACAAGTGTAAAATTAATTTTCTCCCTCTTCCTTTAGTATAGATTATAATAGAATGATCTCCCAACCTCTTAAAGTTGGAACTTAAGAGATTTTGTGATGTTCTTAGGCATATGTTTTTGTTTGATTTGATTTGATTTTGGCTTTAGTTTTTTGTCCATAACTGGTTATGCTTAGAAATCAATCCTGGTGTGCTCGGAGGATGATTTGTGGTGCAAGGGATCCAACCCTGGGTGGCCCATGCAAAGCAAGTGTCCTCCCCACTATACTATCACTCCAGCCTTTTTAAGTTTTTTTTTTTCTTCTTTCCAGAGAACAGAATGATTCTTAGGTCCACACTGTTGGGCATCTCCTCATTGGGAACTGTGTCCTTAGGCCCCTGGTACTGCTTGATATGGAACCTAGTAAGGAAAATTAATGGAACCATAACTATGTTTCAATAAGTGGGACAAGAGGTATTTTGAATAAGTTAGGGATATTTTGCATGATCCCCTTCCATCAGGGTTGGACTCAGGGAAGGGTAAAGTCAAGTAAACACTTGATGAAGAGTCCAAGTATGGGCTCATCCCTTATTCTCTTTGATTCTCAGTTTCTTTGCATTGTTTATCTTTGAGTTGTTTTGGAAGTCAGATATGAGAATGTAGTTCATCACATTTTAAGAAACTCAGGTGTTATATACATATAAGATGAAAGAGACAGGTAGTCGATGTATGCTGTGTCTTTGTCAGAAATCAAGAATAAGTCTAGATGCAGATTTTTTTTTCTTTTTCCTTTTTTCTTTTTGTTTTTGCACCATACTGGGCAGTGCTCAGGGTTACTCCTGACTTTGCACTCAGCAATTACTCCTGGCAGTGCTCAGGGACCCATATGGAGTGCCAGGGATCCAACCGGGGTCTGCTGCATGCAAGGCCAGTACCCTACCTGCTGTGCTATCTCTGCAGACCTAAAATGCAGATGAATTGGAAGCCTTTCTCATCATCCTTACACGGGTACTAGACACATTTGGAATTCACTCAAGTGAGTGTCTCAGAGTTGAATGTCAGGACCTCATCATCATTATCATCATTATAAAAAGAGCTTTTGCTTAATGAGCTTTCCCTCCATTTATGAGTCTTAATAGGTATCATCTTTTCATTTATCAACTCATTTCATCCTGAAACAGCCTTGAAGATGAGGCTTCTTATCCTCACTGGGGGTTAAGAAAACTGAGGACTAGAGCAAGTGCTGAGGCCCGGTGGCTGTATGCAGCAGAACCAGGGTTCAGGCCCCAGGGCAGCCTGTGGTTTCATCCATGACTCTTGATGCCATCCATGGCATCAACTGCCCCTCCTCACAGTCCCCTGCCCTCGACTTATGTCCACAGTATGAATATGACCACACCTGGAGCCCTGTAGGCCCCCTCTTGCCAGAAGTGGCCAACAAAAAACGACTCCAGCTTCAGAACATGATTTGTAATGAGGCAGAAGTTCTCTTTTCTGACGTCAGAAACTGACAAAAAAATGGGGCCCACTTATTTAAAAAAACCATTCTTTACCCATCACTTGCCGTCTTAATTTCTTTTCAAGGCTTGAGATCTTACACTTTCACATAATTATGAAAATTTCCCTTTCAATCAGATTCCTGCTCAATTATAACATAAACTCCCATTATTTCTTCTCTTCTTTCCACCCCCAGAGGAGAGAATTCATTTTATTGTCACAGGAGAAAATGACTTGATTCCAGTAAAGCAAAAGGCAGGGGCAGGCAGTAAGCTGAATATCTTTTATGCAATAAACAGAAATAGGTACGAATATTAAAGACTTGTGCACACAGTACTTTTCTCCTATAAACTTGTTTTTTTGGCTTAGCTGGTATATAATGAATCAGTTGATTTTTCTTTTTAATCTTTGTTGGAGAGACATATAAAAAGGAGAAGCCTGTAAAGAAGCTCTAAGTAGAAAGTGTTTGGGGTAAGATAGATTGTTAAATAAACATAATATAAAATTAATAAATCATTATAATAAAAACAAGGTGATTATAATGAAAAATAGGTACATTGTGAAAATGTTCAAGTGGAAAGTTAGGCAGTAGATTAAATCAAGGGTTTTATTGTTTTTTTGGAAAGAACTTCATTCCAGCTCTTTTCCTATGTCCCTAAAAATCCCCAACTAAGGCAGTTGCCTTATCCTCTGCAGGGATGAGTAAATTTGGTTCTAGGGCACTGTGGCTTTCAGATACACACCCAAGACAAGAATGAGGCTTGGGACCTCTTCTGAGAGGTGTGTTTGTAAGTTGAGAGGATTTTCTATGCCATCACTTTCCTACAGGTCAGAAAGTGGGGGGCTGGAGCAATAGTACATAGGGTAAAGCATTTGTCTTGTACGCAGCTGACCTGGGTTTGATTCCCAGCATCCCATATGGTTCCTCCAGAACTGCTAGGAGTAATTTCAGAGTGCAGAGCCAGGAGTAATCCTTAAGCATTGCTGGGTGTGGCCCAAAAAGAAAAAAAAATCAGAAAGTACAGGAGCCCATTGACTCCCGGATTTGTCTTCTGCTTCTGAGGTTCCCTAAGAACTGGGGAACCTACCTCAGTTTCCACCTAAGCATGCGATCAGCCTTGTGTGTTCCCACTACCTAGGAAGTGATCACAGTTTCCAGGACAGCATCTCAGAATGAGTTTTCACTGTGCGTATTCACCAGTTTAAATGTTCTTTTTCACTGACAGTTGTCTACACTCTGTGTGTGTGTGTGGTAGGGGTGGTGGTGGTGTGTGTATGTGCATGTATGTGTGTGTGTGGGGGGGTGGTATGTGGTATGGATATGTGTGTGTATGTGTGTGTGGTGTGGTGTGTGGTGTGTGTATGTGTGATGTGGTGTGTGGTGTGGTGTGTATGTATTTGTATGTGTGGTCTGGTGTGTGTATGGATCTGTGGTGTGTGTGGTGTGGTGTGGTGTGGGTGTGTGTGTGTGCGTGCATGTGTGTGTGTGTGCGTGCACATGTGTGCATGCATGTGCATGTCGAGCCCAGGGCTTCACAAAAGAGGCCAATGTTCCCCCACTAAGCCGCATCCCTGAACCCTCTTATTTTATTGCCTTTCCCCAGTTTCTTTGCCTAGCTTTCCTTTGCACGTGATTGCTGGTTTCTAGAGGCAGCACAGAGAAAGGCCCCACTCTCATTTATGTAGCCACACCTTAGCAACTCTGATAAAGGCTTGTTTACCTTCTTTGCTGAAGGAAGTTTAAAACAAGGGGTCAAATGAAATTTGGAAAGAATCTGATTTCTTTTTTTTTTTTTCTACTGCCCTGATAACAGCTGGCTCTGCCAACTATTGGTCTTGCAAATACTTTTCTGAAAAAACAACAAAAAAAAAAACAACAAAAAAAACAGTCGTTATACCCCCTCCCCTCCCGCCCACACACACACACACACACACAAACAAGAGTTATGGGTATTCTGTTTCATGATTGTCTTCATTACCGTTGGGGAAGCAAGGCCTTAAAGATCTCGAGTAGCACTCTCAGAAGGGAGTAAGGACAGAAAGAAAAATAAAGGGCAGCAACAAGTAAAATAAGGACAGTATCTCAGGGTCTGGTTTTTAGTACCACACAGAGCAGGGACCTCATGCCTCCATCCTCAGAACCTCTTTTGGGTGGGAGGAAAACTCCTGTCCCTGGGACAGGTGGTGTGAAGTTAGATTTTTATAGGGACCACGTGGCCATCCTGGGTTGGGGTGTCAGGGCCTCTCCCAGCAGGCCTGGGACGCAGGCTGAGGATGTACTTGACCACTTGAGGAGCTCCCCAGCCCAGGATTTTCAAAGCTTTCTGGAGAAAAATGTCCAGTTATCAGGTTCTCAGAACACAAAGACAACAAACATTTATTTCATTCTTTTTTTTTTTTTACTTTTTGGGTCACAGCTGGCAATGCTCAGTGGTTACTCCTGGTTCTGCATTCAGGAATCACTCCTGGTGGTGCTCAGTGGGACCATATAGGATGCCGGGAATTGAACCTGGGACAGCCTCATGCAAGGCAAATGCCCTCCCCACTGTACTATTGCTCTAGTCCCTTTTTTTGTTTGTTTAATTTTGGGTCACACCGGGATGCTCAGGGCTTACTTCTGGCTCTGTGCTAAGGGGATCACTCCTAATAAAGTCCCGGAGACCATACACAGTGCCAGGGATTGAACTGATTGAACTGAGGTTGTCTGCAGCAAGGCAAGCGCCCTGCCTGTTACTCAGCAATTTTTAAACTGCTGTGGGTGTGGGACAAAGGAAGGAGAAAGAAGGGGCCAAAACACTGTTCTCATATTTGCATAAGAGGTTCCCAATAAAGAGTCAACTCGGTGCTACCACCTTTGCTCTGGAGCCCGTCCCTTCCTGGGCAGGACAAATGACAACTGTTTCCATTTTATAGGGAACTCAGCACAAACCCAGTGTCTCATGAGGGCTCCCCACCTGATGGTCTGCAGATGCATACACGTTTTCCTGTGGTGTTTCTCAGGAGGGATCTTACCTCTGGAAATCAGAGAGTCCCATAACCTGGTCTGACAGTGCCCAAAGATCACCCCGCAAATAAATAACATCCTCCCTGGTGGCTGAGATGACTTCCCACCTTCTCATTTCAACATTGCCACCTTTCTCTGTTGAAAGAGAAGCTCCCAACCCAATGCAGAAAGGTGGGGTTCCGGCGGGGCAGTCGGCGCTGCTTTTCAGCAGGGACTCCACCTTAGTTGTGCATGTGTGTGTGCTTCCAGGATGACATCCTTGAATTTTGTGCATCTCTGTGTCAGAGTGTCATTGAAAAACAGAGATAAAAGTGCTCTTCAAAGAGAAAATAGAGAATTCAAAAATATACATATGTATACAGTGAGCCCTTTGAGCTAGTTGAGTTTTATTTAGCACATTCTGTAACTTAAACCAGCGCTTTGAATTTTGAGTTTTTGACATTTTGAAAATTTCCCTTATGGGAACTTTTCTTAATAAGCTCCCCCCAAAATGTTCTATTATCACCTTGAGGAAAGAGCCAAAATAATATATTCATGCAGGGTTTCTCAGTAAGTGCTTAACAAATACTCTGTCATTCTTTCCTAGAGATCAAAACCCAAGTTTTACGTGCTTTCCATGTTCCCCTACCCATCTGGTAAGCTGCACATGGGCCACGTGCGGGTGTATACCATCAGCGACACCATCGCCCGCTTCCAGAAGATGCGAGGCATGCAGGTAAGGGAAAATGTCTGTGGGTAGTCCTTTGCCATGCCACAGGAGGCTTCGAGAAAAAGGGCTAGATGTTCAGCACGCCTTTTTTTTTCCTTTTTGGGTCACACCCGGCAATGCACAGGGGTTACTCCTTTGCACTCAGGAATTACTCCTGGTGGTGCTCAGAGGACCATATGGGGTGCCGGGAATCGAACCCGGGTTGACCGCATGCAAGGCAAACACCCTACCTACTGTACTATTGCTCCAGTCCCATTCAGCATGTCTTGTAGCTAGATGGGACCTGCTCTAACGATAACCATGAACTTTTTTTTTTTTGAGGATAGGGGAAGTCTCACACTTAGTGGTACTCAGGGCTTACTCTTGGTTCTGTCTTCAGGGATCACTCCTGGTGGGGGTCAGGGAACCATACGAAGTGCTAGGGTTCAAACCTAGGTCAGCTACATGTAAGGCAAACACCCTACCCACTGTACTATCTTTCTGGCCCCAACACGGACATCTTAATGGTTACTTATATGACCTGGAGAACAGCATAGCAGCAAACATCTAGGTTTTGAGTTGGGTGTTGTCCTGGGCTAGAGATGAGGTAAGGGTGGGGCTGCATGTAGCTGTCAGTGCAGATAACAGATAACCCCTTCTGAAAGGAAGCCATGGTCTGCTGCAGCTGAAACACAGAATCATTGTATAGAGGAGTGAAACTTCTGTGCGAGTAACCATTGCTGTGAGTAGGAGCTGGGAATCCCCAGAGTTTTCTCCTTTCATTTGATTTAAAAGGGAAAAGTAAAAGTGTGTGTGGGGCGGGGGGGGGGGGGGGTAACCATCTCTTCAGAGCTTGCTCCTCACTTTGTAGTAAAACATCACCCATATGAATTGAAATTACCATAGCACACTCTTTAGAGAGAGAGAGAGGCAGGATTAAAGAGGACTGAGAACAAGGTCCGCTGAACACAGAGCTAGGATTCAAATGCTGGCTCTTAATACTTACTAGCAGTATGATGTTTGACTAAGTTACCCAACCTCTCTTGGATCTAGTTTCTCTCCTCTGTAAAATGGTTATAAAATAGTACCTGCCCAGGGGCCAGAGAGATAGTTCAGTGGGTTTGGTGCTTGTTTGCCTTTGATGCAGCGGACTCAGTTTGATCCAGGTTGAGCCACTCAGGATCCCTCAGGAACCACCAGGAGAGATCCCTAGGCACGGAGCCAGGCGTATAAGCCTTAAACACTGGTGGATGTGGCCCAGTTTCTTCTCTCCTCTAAATATTAAAAGTAAATAGATAGCATAGAACCTGCCCTCCGGCCCACGGTAAGGACTCAAGTTGATGATGATGAAGCACTGAGTGCACTCAGCATGTGATACGCAGCCCACCATAGAGATGGGTCTGCAGCGCACTGCCCACTCTGCCCTGCTCCTAGGGTCCTCGCTGCCTTTCTCTGCCCATCTTCCTCTTTATTGGTTACCATAGAAACTTGAAATTCACCACGGTGGGTGTGTTTACCGTGGAAATCAGCAAACCCTACAAATCGGGACATTTTGCTCCCGAGAGCCAATTGTTCAACTTTTACTGGCACTCCCACTGGCTGTGGCAATTATGAACCTGTCAGGGCTTGTACAGCTGCTATCTGCACCTCTCACATCTTTGTAAGGATTTTCTTTTAGAAAGATTAATGCGCCTGTTGTCACAATTGTTTTGAAAATTTATGCTGAACTGACATTAGCAGCAAGCAGTATTCCTAAATAGGGAGTGAAGCCTCTTTGTTCCTTGAAGAGTTAAGAACTTTCTCCTCTCATACAGTGATTTGCGTTCAACTGGAAGACGGCGGCGAAGGTGTTTTTCTCCCTGCCTTATGTCAGCTGTTATTTTCCCTGAGACATTGCTTTCCATCATTTCTGCTATGTTTATTAGAAAGAGGCGGTGCAGAATGAATTGGCTCTTGGCCCAAAGTGTAATTCTTTACTTTTCAGAACTCAAGGTTTGTCTTTTTTTTTTTTTATGTATGCCGCCTTATTCTGGGGAGTGAGTGAGTGCAGACAAATTGCTGAAGCTTAAGCTTTTACAGCCAAACGGTACAGTTATAACTGGGCACAGGGAAGCCTGCTGGCCACCCATGAGCATGTAGAGGGTTCAGAGGGTGTAAGTAGGGACTCTAATTTTTTTGGATGGGATTCATTGTTACAGATGATGACAAGGCAGATGGTGGGTCCCTTCTAGGCAGCTTAGGCCTGAGAGACAAAATGGAATCTTCTACAGTGATGGAAACCACGACCCAGGAACTGGAGAACCCAGGGTTGAACCCCGTGTGTTACTTCCTAGCTCAGTGACACCCCCCAACACATACATACATACAGACAGACAGACAGACACACACACACACACACACACACACACACACACACAGGTTGTGACTCCCCCTGCCCCTCCCCACACACATTATACAATGTCTCTGGTTCCTCCTCACCCTTACATTCTTTAAATTCAGAATAACAACAGTTAATTGTCACAGGGTGGTCGAGTGGGTTGAACGAGATAGGATATGTGTCTGGCTCATAATAATCCCCACCAACGGGGAGCTGTGATTATTCTTTATCCTGGTCTGATTTACTCTGGCAAGTCATTATCGTTTAATCAGCGGATCCCTCTTCTGCATGCTGCATAGATTGGCGTCTGAGAGGCTCTGTAAATCACCGCCCGCAGTCTCCACTGTCTGTCCTGTGACGGGTGCCTGGAGCCACCACTGGTGATTTGGTTTATGGTGTCTGATTTTGTGTGCCCAGCAGGTCCTAGGCCTCCCTGTTCTTCAGTTACTCTGTTTCAGATGAAAGGCTGTCATTTTTTGGGGTACCCTCAAAGTTCCTCGGAATTAATTTTATAACCCATACTTAAGTTAGATTATAGCATCAAAATCTGGCAAAAGTGTGTCCCCCTTGCCCCCAGGTGAAAAACTGGAGTACATCCTCAAGGCTGTTAGTTTGATCTTGACACCCGAAGCACCACTGGGGGAGACCCTCGTGGTCCAGGAGCTCTGCTGGGTCCTGGAGTTTCCAGCACTGAGGTCTGATTACTGAATGGACAGCTTGGGCAGGCCCATGCACCCCAGCTGAGGGCCGCTGGGAGTGCCCATGAGCACTGCTTAGGGAAAGACATTACTGCCCCACCCTCTGATACATCCAAATTAGAGGCTCAATGTTTCTCTCCATAGTCAGGTTCCTTCCAATCCTGTTCAAAGTGACCCCAAACCCAAAGTCACATGTTCACGCTTTCACTCTGCAGATGGTTTAAGGAGACAGGAGTGTGGTCGTGTATATTTCCAACTTTAAATGTTTTTTAAAGATCTCCTTTAAAAGATGTCTTAATTCTGAAGTGATAGCACAGCGGGTAGGGCGGTTGCCTTGCAAGCAGCCGACCCGGCTGACTTGGGTTCGATTCCTCCGCCCCTCTCGGAGAGCCCAGCAAGCTACGGAGAGTATCTTGCCCACACAGCAAAGCGTGACAAGCTACCTGTGACCTATTCGATATGCCAAACACAGTAACAATAAGTCTCACAATGGAGACGTTACTGGGCCCACTCGAGCAAATCGATGAACAACGGGAAGACAGTGCTACAGTGCTACTATTCTGCATGTTTTTCCAATCAATCTTATTAAGATTTCTTCTATTTGTACGAGTTAGTTCATCCATTGTAATTGCTGTATAATGTTTAGGATATTATTTAATTATTCATTTTCTCGTGGATTGAGTTTTTGGTTGTTTTGAAATTTTGCCCCAGTGGAGATCCTGGTACCTGACTTGTCAGCTGTGGAAGAGGGGGCATTGTTGGGTC